TGTTCTAGGGCACACTCATTATCTTTAGTTTTTAAGGTGTTGCATTGGCCTCCGATATCGTCTAATTTTAATAGTTTTATAATAACTAGCACTAGAGAAGTGTTGCTGATACAATGTGTTGACTACGAATCACTGTCAGCCAAACATTTTTATATTAGTACACGCGGTCCGTTGAAGATAAACTCCCATATATATATATATATATATATATATATATATATATATATATATATATATATATATATATATATATATATATATATATATATATATATATATATATATATAATGCACTTGATAGCCAGTGTCGTAACGAATTTCTTTAAATAAAAGTATTTTCGAAAATGTTATATTGTGTATTGACAAATATTTACATTTTGATATACACGATAAAGATTTGTTTTTGTATTCAACCAAAACTAACTTAGCAGGCTGCCCCAACCCAATTATGCCAGCCCGTCCTCCTGAAATATGATAGTACTTATAGTCACTATTTGGTCAAAAGTTCCAATGTTTAAGGAGGGACCACCAGTAAGCCACATTTTGTACTATTAATTTTAAAGTCTGGAAAACTAAAAACCAAACTTAAATATTTCTAGGCTTAGTATAGCACATATATGTATTATATTAGGCTAAGGTTCCTGATCAACCAGGCTGTGAGTTATACGTCAGGCTGCGAGCAGCCGCGTCCAATAGCCTGGTTGACTAGGCAGCAACGATGAGGCCTGGTCGAGGACCGGGCCGTGGGGACGCTAAGCCCCGAAATCATCGCAAGGTAACCGCAAGGTAAGGTAGTGTGTATTATGTCTAGGATTGCTAGGACATGTTCGGTTAGGCTAGATCTTATATTTATGTTACGGTTAAAAAAAAGAGTCTGTTTTGTCCAAATTCAGTAACACAAAAGTCAACTTTCTGGTCGTCCGTCACTACATATTGGTACAAAACTCTCCACCAAATAATTACTGTAAGTATGTTCTTTTTAAGAGGATTGGCTGATATATGCCTACGTTACAAAACTTTAGCAAGCGTAGGTAAAACTGGACCCCTAGTAAGTTACAGTAATTGATATTGTCAATATAATATTTCATGGAAATCTTACATTTGTTTGCAGAGGTGTGAGGACATAATAATGCGTATATATATATATATATATATATATATATATATATATATATATATATATATATATATATATATATATATATATATATATATATATATATATATATATATATATATATATATATATATATATATTTGGTAGCAGTCTTTCTTGTAAACATATGTTGTTGAATATGATCAAAAAGGTAAGATTAATGATTCTAACACGAGTCTTTTCAATATTTCTTATGTTTTTCTTCACTGTCGAGGGAAGTTTAAAAATTAACTCTCCAAAGTTCATTTTCACACCTTATTATGATTTTATTTTAGACCATAAAAATTGTGAAAATGAATTTTGGTGAGTTAATTTTTCAACTTCCCTCGACAGTGAAGAAAAACATAAGAAATATTGAAAAGACTCGTGTTAGAATCATTAATCTTATCCCTTCGGTCATATTCAACAACATATGTTTACAAGAAAGACAGAACTACATCGCTGGGCCTAATGGACAGTTTTACCTAATCTTTTATTTTTTTATCTTACGTCTCTGCATAAATTTGTATCCACTTAATGAGATTAACATTATATTTAGTAGATTAATTACTAATTTGATTAAGGATAGTATTACGTTAGCTGGAGTTTAGGAATTCTAAGCATACTCAGGTTAGATCAGGTTGCTTTGTTAGTTTGTCTTAGTTTAAATAAATTTCCTTATCATATATATTAAACTGGACAAATCTGTCATTCCAAAAGTAAGCATTTTAGAAAAAATGACTTATAAGGAAAATGCTATTTTCTAGACACACCCTGGCTATTAACAAGAATTATATATACATATATATATATATATATATATATATATATATATATATATATATATATATATATATATATATATATATATAGAAGTTTTGGTCCTATATGTTAAACTATACTGATCTAGGTCATGTTATATGGAGATAGACAGCATGTTCCCCTTTATGTAGGCAAAGTAATTCTAGGTCCCTAGCATTTAATTATATGGCATTTAGGGTTATCTATACTATACAGAATTTTGTAAAAAAAAATAATAATAATATTGAATAAGGTTAGGAGTTTGCTTCTTTAAAGACCTGTTGAGTGGGAGCTACAAGTATCTTGTTGGGCTCCCACACGTTACCTTAATACATTGTCTTTGTTGATATATTTACAACTAGACAACAACAAAAATTATTTGTTGGTTTAAAAAAGCATCGATGGCACTCTTTGTCTAAGAGTCCAAGGTCTAAAACCATTTATTAATTGTTGATGCACAAGCAGTAACTACTTTGTTGAAGCTCAAACATGCAAGTATCTTGCCTTTGATGATATTATTTTTGTAGGCAACCAAGCATTATCTTTGTTGATGATACTGGAATGTCCTCACTTCTTTCTTGACTCATTTGTTATTTGTTCAAAGTGTGGCGGGCTCATGTTATTCCCGCGTGTCCCCCGCCTTTGACATAGAGGAGGCTCTCTCTTCTGCCATTCCATACCATATTCCTCGCTACTTTTAATTGGGAATTTAGTTAATAAATTCCGTGTAAACTGTGACAAATGCTAGGCCTTTCGTGCCTCAAGCCTGAGACAATCATTCAACTTCTTACGTCTGGCGACGACACTGTTTGCTGCCCCACCGTCATGCCTAACTTGTCTTATGCTACTTGGTTGTTTATGCCTCCCACATCATGCCTTCTTCAATCTGTTTTCGAGAAAACTACATATACCTGGTAAATATCACTATATAGTATGCAGAAACTCAGATGAAAGTGTATAAATTATTGTCCAGTCGGAATTGTATCGCCTGACCTCCAGAACTGTTTAAACTGTTATCTTGGTATATTTACATTGCCTAAAATGTTATTCATACAAGTTACATATAATTAACCTTGTTAATTTGACAACGAGTTTACAGCTTTATGATACTCGGATTGACAGGACTAAATTTTTGCCGTAATTTTTATTTACTTTAAATGCTGAAAATGGTATAACATGATGTCTTATGCATATATTGGTTTACTACTGATGTGGGATTACAGCTCGTCCTTATAAACAATGGCCAAATGATCGTTAATCCAGCCTCCAAACCCCCCTATTGTTTTTAATGAAAAACACTTTGCAAACTATTCACACAACCTCTCCTCGGGTCAGGCTCGTTAAAGCGGCAGCCGTCCCCAAGACTCGTTCATAAATTTTAACGTACTGTGTATTAAAAAAATATATGTTTGTTCTCATATATAAATTAATATTACCATACATTAAATTTCTATGCATAATTAGGCCTAGTATGGGTTAGGTTAGGTGTTTAGTCTCTATTGGTGATTATTTGTATTTGAAGTCCGTGGGTTGCGATTCAAACTGTGGACGTGAGCGAAACACTCTTCGAGAAATTTGAACTTTCCTCGAACAGTGCTTCACTTCGCTTCGAAACTCAGTAAATGCTTTGCCCAAGTATTACATATACAAATTACTACCAACACACTCTAAACACCTGACTGAGTCCTTGGTCTACCTACACACAAGATTGTAATATACCTTAATATTAATTTACGTTCAAGATTTGTTTTCACATTACTTTAAAATTTAAGAATGTGTTTTTGGGGTCAGCCGCAGCCTGGTCGAGCACAGCATGAGGATGGGTTAGAAGGTTGATTCCGGGAAATGATCATCGAGAAATGAGATTACACTGTAAGTTGCACTGAAACACATGTAACGGAAACATACTCGCGACCGACCACCAGAGATGCAGGAATGACTTTCGATAACCAGAAATAAAATGAAATGTATATGGATATTCTCCTTGCTCTGCACTTTGAAGCTCGCTTGACAAGTGTCCGTAGCACCTTAACGCTGATAGTTTATTTCTTTTCCTGGCTCTAGAACAGCTGTACAGACTTGAATTAGAATAAATAGATAGATAACACTAGATTGTTACTCTAACCAAACTTGAGGTATGGGAGTAAATTACATTTAACGATTCGAATTATGTCAGGCGGTCATCGAGTCTGCCAGGCACAGGGACTGTGACAATAAACTTTAATAAATTAATTGTTGGCAGCTCACTAATTCTTAAAATCCTTTGAATTAAATTTTTTAGACAATTTAAATTATGATAGCTCATCTGCTTGGTGTAGAAATTCAGTAAAACATCGGTAGATAAATGTATATGGTCGTGTACCGGAATGGTCCCTTGTAATTGTGTGATCCACTACACAAGGAAGTGAGGTCACGGACGCAGGTTCGGTTAAGACTTATAAACTGTTCGAGGATAATTAAGGCCATCATACTTGTTTTTGACCAACCAACAAGTATATTTTACCTCTGAACATAACCCAGGACTAAAGTGAACAAGTACTCGGTGTATACACTCAAGTGTACGGTTCAGGAAGTCCTAACAGAATGTGAAGCAGAGTGTTTTTTAGCAAGATGCACTCAGAGTACCACAAGTGTCCGGTGAGTACACTACCCTATCATAAACATTGTTAATTACAAGGGGAAATTGTGGCCATTTTTGGAGATGAACGTTCTACAGGATTACATCAATATACTTTGATATCAAACTTTCGTAAATGACGACTGTATGTTAGGTCATTTATATTAATGGTCGTGTATAGGCTTCCACACTATGTCACCTTTTCGTCATTGTCCATGCATAGGATGGGGCGCGGCGTCTATAATATTTTGAACTGAATTCAACTCTCAGACAGACATTTAACCGTATATTGGCTGCTAAGGTTTATAAATGTTGTATAATAATTCAATATATGCCGGTAACCACGTTTATTAAATTAGCAGTTGTGGTAACTAAGCCTATCTTATAAATTCTTTACACCAACAAGAGCAAATTTCTGCATACCAAATTACCTTGTAGGAAGAGCAT